AAGGAAGAAATGACTGATTCCTGCTAGGATGTCACACAGAAAATTAATATTTTAATTACAGAGCCTTCATAGCATAAGGACTAGTTGAAAGACTTCTATTAAAGTTTAGTTAGACAGCCAAGCATGGTGGTGCATACCTTTAATCCCAGTACTAAGGAAGCAGAGACAGGCAGGTCTCAGTTCAAGGCCATCATGGTCTACAGAGTGAGTCCCAAGACATCAAGGACTATACAGAGAAACCCTGTCTCAAAGACAAGACAAAACAAACAAACAAACAAAAGAGTAGGTAAAAACACACTTTATTGTAACTAGATTATGCTCAAGTAGAACCTTGTATTTTCATGGCTTGAAAGAATTTAAGGAATTTCATTTTTATTATTGAACCAAGCCCAAAGGTGGAAAAAGACAGGGCTGTGATGGTTTTCTGTCTTGGTAAAGAAAACTAACCTGCTTTGTGATTTTTCGTAAAAAATCAATGCACCTGTATAATGAGTTTTTCAGAGGGTGCATCTTGCAATGAGCCATCTGAGAGATGCTCATTAACACAGGAGAGTCACAAGGTATAGCAGGTAGAATAGTTATAACTTTAAGGGTTCTGTCTGCAACATGGGTTAAGATTTATGCTATTAGCATCTTTGAGTACCATTTCTTGCAAACATTCACTGCCTCTGATTGTATTCCTAGTCAACAGACTTCCATCATGCTAAGGTGTGCTGTCTGATAATCAGAGTGCCAAAGTGGCTTCAGTTCTCATGTCAGATAGATCCGAAAGGACTGGGGAGGTAGCTCAGTGGGGGTACACTTGCCTAGCATGCATGAAACCCCGAGTTCAGTTTCATCCATAGGAACACACACACACACACACACACACACACACACACACACACACACACACACACACACACTCACACTCACACTTACACGGGGTGGGTGGGGAGACAGAGACAGATGGGGAGATTGCCAGCAGCATCTATGAAGGAATAGAGAGTAGTGAGAACCAGTTTCAAGTTGAATGGCACTGAATACTCAGGCCGTCACTGCAATGGATGGAGGTCCCCTCCCTTCCAAACTTCCAAGGCAACAACTGTGTGCTATGTGGCTAAGAGAAACTGCTGTCTAGAGATTGTTGAAAACCACTGTGTGAACTAAGGAGAGGTGATTATACTGTGACTTTTGAGGAAGCACTACTGGGGGACATTTGAGAGTTAAGTCCAGAACCAGTCTGTATAAGGTTGCTGAAGAAATTAGTGAGAAGTTGACAGGTTGCAGTCCCACCACAACAGAAAGGGCAGTTCAGAGATTTCTGGATCTCTTATAGGAAACTCGAGTGTCTCCAGGAAGTCAGGTTTAGAACTCTTGATACAATGCCTCAGTATGACTTGTTTGTTGTAGATGTTAGCATGGAGGCAGATTTCCTTACCTTCAACTTAGGAGTCTCTTCTATGCTCTACTAACTTCCTTAGCAAAATGTTTAATTTTAGAAAACTAATGGCAGGGCTATTCCCCAGACTCCAGGGAACAGCTCTGTTGTCCTCCACATTCAGTCAGCCAGTAATGGGACACTAATACAATGTGACATAGAGATAAAATTGAATTGCTTGGCTTTCACTTAATTTCAGGACACTTTTTGTCCCCTTGTTTTGGCTGTCCAGTTCCTTGCCTTCAGCTGGCTTTGTGAAAAGCCAAGTGGGAGAGGATCCATTAATGTAGAATGTCATGACACCAGCCAAGAGAGACACTGTCCCCCAAGAACCTCATTAGAAATGTCTGAGGAGGTTCTTGTATTAGTTCCAAATTTCTTTCTTCCTGTGTCTGGCAGTAGCAGAAGCTAGTGTTAGGCAGAATCTTGTTTAGGAGAGAAATGATCAGAATAACTATCATAAAGATACTAGCTCATACCTATTTGACACCTACAATGTGCCAGGCACTTTTCCAAGGTACATCGCATGCATGGATCCATTTTGTACTCATAGTGTGTCAATGAGGTTGATCCTGTTGTCATCATCTTATTTTGAGGAATCACAGATTAGCCAGGAAGTGGGAGAATTTTGCTTCAGATCCAGTCAGTCTGCTGTGGAGCCCAGTGTCTCTCAGTGATTGACTGTATTGCCTCCTACTGCTTTACCTACTGCTTATACAAGGGTCGAGACTGATTGAAAGAGGTTTTCCATTATTTAGCGAATGCCCTCATGCCTTAAAATTTATTAATGGGCTTCAATTCAATCAACATTTTTTAAAGGTTCTAAGTCAGCATTTAATAGGAAGCAAAACATGGGATAGCTTGCTTTAAGAATGCTCCTATTGGCATATGTTGTACATAGCTGTAAGAAATGGGTGCTAAAAAGAGAGGAGGGGGGAAGGAAAGAGATTTCAATGCAGCTGATTAGTGACACAATATTTTCTCTTTTTTCTTAGCTGAGTGTCCTGGAGAAGAAATGAAATAATATGCCCATTCACTTGTTATCTGAAAAATTCTATTCAAATGCTAGGTCCTATTGTATGATCACAGTGGGCTTCGTGGAAGTTTGGAGTCCAGTGTTTCCAGAGACAGCATTGTGTTGGGTGTGACTAGAGGGCAGTTGTGAGAAGTCGAGAGGCGAAAGTGTGTTGAGATAGGCGTTCCACATGGAAGTGGAAGGAAGGACTGGCCAGCAGTTTTCTGAATTCTGTCTACATTTGGCAGCTGCTTCTCTAAGCAAATCGTTCTTGTTGCCTTTAGCCACCAAAGACAGCTAGAGCTAAGTGGCATTTGACCCACTGTTATCTCAAGAGGTTGTTTACACAGAACTCACTCTACCCTGTACTCTTTCGCCTGACATCACAGACCGTGAGTAACTGTAGCCTTCTTTCTGATCTGCTAAGTTTTCGGGGGGTGGGGTGGGGAACTGCCCATTACAATCCATGAAGATTACTTAGGTGATCGTAGGAATTAAACGATGATACCCCTTAATGTGGGGATAAGCCCTTGATATGAAACAAGTGTGGTTGCTGCTAATCATTTAATTCTTTCTACTTACATCTAGAACCCAGCATTCTTTGCCATGGTCACTACTTTTCCTCTTGTGTGGAGTTATCACTTATTTACAGACTGATATGCTTTTAAAATAGCTATATTATTTCTCTAAGAATAATGATATTCAATGCAAATTAACCTCAATCTCCAAATTTAGAGACAGCCACTTGAAACCACTTACTGAATTTTTATGCAGACATTTCTTTTACATACACAAACTTCTAAGTCCCACAATTTACATGCAGTAATTTAGACCCCCTCACACACCACATGAGTTTTTTATTTCTTTTAAAATTATACTTTAAGGTATGTGGTAGACAGACTTCCCTTTAAATCAGCGTAAATCTTTGCATCCATTTATAATATCTGCCTCATGTTTTCTTGCTAGGATGTATCATAGTTCATTCAACAAACCTCTTGTAAATTGTTTACTGATGAATAAAACACTCTTGGCACCAGGTAGAGATCAGCTGACCAGGGTAAACCATGTTATAGATTTTCTATCTTATGCATGGACTCTTGGTATTTATCCATAGCTTCGTGGCCTCAGCTCCTCAGAGGTATATCACGTAGGAGGGAGATCGGAAGGATGAGTGTGGGGATCACATCTCTGCCTCTCCCTCTGCCCTATAGAGCTATATGACCTTAATAATCACTTTATATTTTGAAACTGCAGATTTTTCTATTGGTAAAGTGATGCTTGTAGGCATGTGATACTTAAGGTCTGGTCTACTGACTTGTAGCTCTTCCCTCAAACTAGATCTCTGCTCATATTATCATCATTAATATACTCATGTCAGACTTATTCTCCTGTGCTTCTACCATGGCCAGCACAATGCCAGTAGATTCGACACTCTACAGTCATACTTTGAGTGATGGGTCAGACAGCCAACCCATCTTGGTCCAGGTCTTGCTCAGGATTCACCATCTGTGTGATTTTGTATAAAGCAGTGAACCTCATAAATGTCTACCCATTATTCTTTTTAGAATTTGTATGCTTGTATACTTACATTTGAAATATTTAAATCTCTTCCTTTCTCTTATTAGCAATGTCTGTTAGCTTTTACTATTTAAAAACAAAACAAAACACACAATCTTGTGTTTGAGAAATTTCTTTCAACCAATGAAATTGAAGGATTCTCATGGACCAAAAGGAATACATTGATCCACAGTGGAGGTGATAAATATTAAGGTTTTTTTTTTTTTCCCACTCAACTTAGGCCTAGGACGAAACCACTTGAAGATGTGACTTTAAAAAATTAAGGAATCTAGGAGGGTGAACAAGATGCTTCAGAGAATTTTGTGCTTCCTGTTTAATTAATGAATACATGTTCTGGGCCAGCTCGAATGAGTTCTTTAAGCATGACTTATGAGCTTCATTTGAAGGCATCTTACAGGCAGTACCAATTACAGCATGCCTTAATTGAGTGGTGCTTTCAGAGTCTCCTCAGTGGATGAGAAATCTCAGCCTTGGTCCTGTGTACTCTAGATGCCTAGTTTGTATTTTTAAATGCATTTAAAAATTCTTTTGAGGTTAGATCATCATTAACTAGTTTTGACTATTATGAACATACTTACTAATATTCTGTAGCTCCAACACGTTTTTCATTTCTCATTACTTGTTTCTAATTGATTAGACACAACAAAATGTATGATATTTAAATTTTTGACAAATTAATAGCCAATATTACATAGGGATGTTTCTCCCAAAGCTTTTTGTTCCTAGTCCCATGTTCTTTCATAAATTTTGGGTACACCACTAAGGTTTCTAGAGAGGGACTCTTGAGATAAGTTTTGTGTTCCAGTAAACAGGATGTATTTCTGATCTGTACATAAATCTTTTCTTGTAACCCACAGGAGATGCAATTGCCCCTAGTCCCTCCAGGACCGTGACTCATAGTTCTGTGCTCTCCCCCCCTCTCACTCACTCTCTCTCTCTCTCTGCCTCTCTCTCACTATACCTGACCACTCGGTTCTTGTCTTGCAGTCCCCAGTCTGTCCCAGATCGTCTGAGGATCCGAGTGAACAAAATCAGTTTACAAGACTATGAAGGACTCCACTATGACAAAGAGAAACTCCGGGACGCGTGTAAGTTACCAGCACCTACAGGACTTCATGGGATGGGTCTCTTCAGTCCTGGGTTCCTGATGGGTAGATTCGTTATACCTCATGCCCAAAAATGCGGTTGGAAAAGGGAGGCAGAAGTGCAAGTGCCACGGCAAATTCTGGTGATGATATATGGACCAGAGAAAATAGGAACGATGAAGAAAAACAGTGAAGCTAGGTGTTCGGATACATGTGCTCTTGGGTTAGGTACCTCTCTAGGCTCAACTTTATCTAAAATCGGAAATGCAGAAGATCAACACAGAAACATCTAGAAACTTTTGAGCCATCACAAATCTCTTCTTGAAGTTTGCCTTGTAAAATGCTTCCAGCATGCTCAGAGTCATCAGCAGAGTTATCCAGGAAGGGTGCATCAGCCCCTTCAGCTCCAATGCTGTTGTAGGGTGTCACATCAATGACCATGATCCTGGAATGCTGAGGTGGTGGTTCGTTGATTATGAGGGAGCTTTGTTTCTGAAGTTGTAATCGAGTTGGCCTATGAATTATCTGTCAGTGTTTATGTTTCTCTCATATCCTTGAATACACAGATAATTATTAATTTGTGTCACTGAACAGTACTTATTGGACATTGTTTCTATTCTGGTCACTATTTTAGAGCAGTTTCTACACTATGATGTTTAGAGGTTATTGGTTAGAAGAGATAAGAAAGTGCTATTGTGAATACTATAGATATTGGTTCTGAGTTGTCTCTCACTGGTGGGGACCAATAGTCAGATGCAGTAAGATAGGGTAAGGAATATCAATACTCAAGAAAACAGACATGGGTACCACTGGAAAGAAAGGACTTAATAGAACTAAAGCTTCATCAAGCCCAGTATTAACTGGCTGGCTATGGACCTGACTGGAAGGACAGAAGGGAGCACCAGTTGAAATGGGGGAAATGGTGCTGAGGACGGAGGGCAGTAGAGCATTTCTGAGAGTACCTTCCAAATTCTGGATTTATCAAATGGAAATCTTTAACCCATGGAGGGTCTTCCCATTGGGTGTGAGGGTTTCGAGTTTCTGCAGGTGGCGGAGAGCAAGGGTTGTTTTCCTGGTGGGCCCTTCACTGAGCCTTCTGAGAAGAGCTGTGGGGAGTCTATCTCACTTCTCTCAGTTACTGTCTGATTCAGCAAGCATCATCTTCCTCAGACATCAGAACCTTTCGTTTCTCTAGCCTCAAACTCTGTCCCTTATTCTCATTTTCTTTGGCAGGACAGTGTGATCCAGAGGACAAAAGTGAGTCTCTGAACCTCTGCACCTCTTCATTTTGTTAAGAGTCCATAATGTTTTCTAATATGAGGTCTAAGTGTCAGATTCGTACTAAGTCCATTTTAACCCACTGACAGATGAACATGCTCATGTATGATGAGGTAGAGCTTCGTCTGAATTAAATAGAAACTACTCAGAAAGAACAATCTTTCCTGCTTTCCTTTTTCATGATTCCAAACTAATAACTTCCAATTATTAAAAACAATAAAAGATAACACATCTTAAATGATGTTTTATAGCCTACCATCCACTCTGAAGAAGCTGGCTGGGAGTGGGATACATTTAAAGAGCTTCGAGGCTTATCAGTAACTTCCAATTATCTGTTTTATCTTCTCTCTGCCTCTATCTCTCTGTTGCTGCTGGAGGTAATTGTGATTTGAGCTTTTCCAGGAAGATGACATTTCTTGGCAAGTTCTTTCTTGCCTCATCCTATCTAAAATGATAAAACTTCCATCTGAGCAAATGTCTTAAATTGGGAACAGTAACTTGGCATAAGCATAGGACAGATAAATGCAGCCTTATCTTTGGAACCCAAGAGAATGAATAAACTCTTAAAGGGGAACAGAAAGGGAATATATTAAAGATCCAAGTTTGAAAAAAAAATTGATTGGAAGGAAAAGTTGCTAAGTCAGTCATTCAACTTTTAATAAATGGTGGTGATGCTTTCAAGCTGTGGGTGCACAGGGAAGCGTGGCTTTTGAGGTTATGCTGACCCTTGCTCTTTTGCCTGGGTGTACCTTGCAGCTGACTACAGAGCCATAGAATGGCTGACAGAGAGCTCAAGCCGAATATGAACAAAAGCTAGTTCAAGTTCATTTGTGATGTGCATGCCAAAACACACATTGTTTCAGAAGCATCAGTTAAATGAAGTTCCCAGAACACATCTGGATAAAAGGGTCCCCAGAAATGTACTGTGACCCGGATTCCAGAAGAACAAAGGAACTGAGTCCACCCGGGAGGGTCATCTATTGTCAACAAAATCTCAGCTTGAGCAATGGTGTCATACTGGGTTTAAACCATTAGTGCCCTTTCTTGATGATTCAACCAAGTGATCTACCCAGGCAGTGTGGGCTGCTTGCCGTCACTACCTACTTGATTCTTGCTCCTGTGTCTGTATGGTTGTTCATATTTGATTGCAGTCTTGGATGTTTGTTGTCTAACAAAGCTTGGATGCCTGCTTCCATCTGCAACTCAGGGCTCCCTGATAATCCAGCATGGCAGCCCCTTGGTTGTTCTGCTTATTTCAACAGACAAAAGTACACCTTTGCCATTTCAGACACATCTCCCTTCTGTTAAGCTCTACCTCTCCCAGGGACTTATCCCTAATATACCAGCATAGGGTACATAAATGTTCAACAATCTAACCCCCTCCCCAGCACTTGTTGATACATTTAATTACTTAAAACACAGTCTCTTCACTGGTTATGATTTGTCAGTTCTCAGGGTAAGGGTGATGCTTTTCAAGACAGGAAGAGAGAGTGTAAAGATAAAGTTGCATCAAATCACTTACAGCGACAACAGAAAATCACTTCCACCAACTGAGTGAGGTATTCACATGAGTCACTAATCAAGCATGCATGTAATTGCACAGTCCATGCAGAGGGTAAGCAACTTTTGACACCGTTACAGTTCTAGCTACAAAAGAGACTAACTGGACATACAATGTACAGAATAAGTTGAGTGAGGTTTTATTTACCTGTATCCTACCCAGGCTGATTAGACTTTACTTTTGATACAAGCTAACACTATGCTTTTTTTATTCATAAATAAATACAACCTTTATTTGTTATTTATACTTCAAAACTGTTGGGAAAAATGAGCCAAACGTTTTGATGAATACAGACTCAGGGTACTCTGTGTTGTGTGGGGAGCTGTCACTTCTGCGTGGTGACAAGAATGTTCCAGAAAATGATAGGAAAGGGGGGTAGAAGACCCAAGGACTGGACCCAGTCTGAAGGGAATCCCAGAGTTTTGTGCTAAAGGAATGTGAAGCAAGGGTGTGGCTTTTCTGGGAGTCTCATCTCATCATCTGTGGAGTCTCTGTGAGAAATGCAAACTGGTAAACTGTGGCCATGCACTGGGAGTAGGACGAAGGTCTGGGGAGATTTACAAGAGACTGTAGAGGAGACAGCAGCAGGTTTGGAAAAATTGCTGACTGAAAGTCACCTTTAAGAAAGGAGCCTCATTAGGAGAGTCTTTTGACCAAGGGGAGCATGACTGGGCTTGAGATGGGGAAGCATGAGAATGGCATGTCATGTTTGATTGAGTGTGGTAAGACTTGATATGGGGGAACATTATGGACGTGAAAACATTAGGGGAAATTACTTCTGTGGAGAACAAGGCAGAGGACTAGGCTTCCAGAAAAGATATTGTGACTTTTAAAACTTTCAACCCCCCCCCCCCCCGCCCCGTGAGATCTATATGTTCACATCAGAGCTTGTCAGTCCTATATCTCAAGAGAAAATTCTCAAGAGAAAAATGTGTGGCCTGATTTCTTCAGGCTACAGATCTGATCTCTCTTTAGAGGGACCAGTATCTTAAAGTGGCAGGGCCCTATCTCAGCATTCATAG